CCTGTTTCACTTTCCCGCTTCCCTACGGGTTCTTCCTGGTCTTGCCTCCCAGCTTACTCTCAACTGCTGGTCTACTCTTAGGGGAACCCAATTGAAGATGGGGTAAGGGAATGGGGAGGGAAATGGTGATTTTCAAGCAACACCACTGATAAGTTGTAAGTCTAGATGTCCTAAAGACACCCTCTCATAAATGAAAGTTCAGTCAACCCCATGGCTGAGGCCTGCTCTGAAAAGAGAACTGAATTGGGAGCTCAGGGCTCTAGTCTCTGTCCCAAGGAATATGTGGATTCAGGAAAGGCCCTGACTCCTGGTTCTCACTTCTCAGCTATAAATTGAGAGTATGGGCTGAATTGTATCTTCCCCAAATTTATATGCTAAAGTCCTTAACTCCACTACCTCCATACCTCAGATTGTGACTGTATATGGAGCTAGGTCCTTTAAAGCAGAAATTAAGGTAAAATGAGGTAAGGTGTGTGGGCTCTAATCCACTATGGTTAGTGTCTTTATAACAAGAAGAAATTTGGACACAGACTGGTATAAATGGAAGACCACATGAAGACACGGCCAAAAGTGACATTTATAAGCCAAGAAGAGAGACCTTAAAAGAAATATCTGCTGACATCTTGATCTCAGATGTCTAACCCCTAGAACTGTAAGACAATAAATTTCTGTTACCACCATCATCTGTGGTACTCTGCTATGGCAGCCCTAGAAAATGAATGTACCCTCCTACCACCCAGGGTTTTCATGTAGACAAAACAGGACACCAAGTGGAAGTGCATATGGTCTTACTACTGATCAGAAGGAGACAAGCAGACACTATAGCCCCAGCCACACCAGGGAATAACCACTCAGGAGCAGCAAGGCACCGTACACAGTTGCCAGACTCCAGTTTCCACTTCACAGGTCTCCAGGGCTGTGAAAAGAACCGTGCTGAGCCTTGATAATATGTAAGTCCTTCTGGGGGAGTCCCTCATGGACCCAGATATTAAGTGCATTAGTTCCTCCTCCCAGGCCTTAGGAATCCACGATTTTTTTCTTTTTGTCACCACTTGGTCAACAAGATTTATTTTTCTGGAGTTATTCTTAAAAGGTGTTAAAGCTTTCAGAGGTTGCCTTGAAGCTTGACACTGATGCCTCAGATAGACCCAGGGATTTTGTTTCTGGTGCCGTCTCTTACTCCCCGATATCCCTTAGGCAGTTAGACCATTCTGATTCCAAAGGATTCCACTTAGGATATATACAACTCACCTCAGTAAGGACTTTCTCACCCTTACCCTGAGACCTAGTTCCACACAATGCCACATTCAAAAGAACCAAATCCCATGCCACTGCCTTAAAAAGTCCTGCAAGTCATTGAAGAGATAGAAAGGAGGGAGAACAAGGAGATGCTCTCTCATCCTGTTGTTCAACTCAGTCCTACACCTGCGGATGTTGCTCTGGAAACTCCTAACCCTTCCCTTGTCTTCCAGAGTTTTTCTTCTGTGGGTTGCTCTTTCTTAATAAAGTTGCCCCTCTCCATCCAGTCCACTGCCTCCAATGAAAACAAGGGACACAAGACCCAGTAGACAAGCAAAGAAAAATTCTCAAGGTAGGAGAAGAGACTGTGATCAAACATCTGTGTCCATGAGGGTATTTCTGATAACACTTGACTCAGGTTGAGTAGGCTGTCCTCCCTTAACGTGAGTGGCTTTTGGGCTGGATCTTAAACCATCTCCTGGTTTTCAGGACTTTGGATTCAGACTGCAATCATACCATTGGCTCTCCTGGGATCTATAGCTCACTGACTACAGATTTTGGTAATTCTTATTCTCCAAAATTGCATAAGCCAATTCCTTAATAAGGTCTCCGGTTGGTTTTGTTTCTCTGGAGAACTCTAATACAGATTTTGCTACCAAGAGTTGGGTGCTCCTGCAAGAAATACCTCACAATCTGGAAGCAGCTTTGGAACTGGGTAATAGGGAATGGAGGAGTTTTGAAGTACATGCTAGAAAAATCCTAGATTGACAAAAAGGGACTGTTGATAGAAATATGGGCATTAAAGATGGTTCTGGTAAGGGTTGAAAAAGGAGTGCAAAGAGCAAGCTCCGTCTTCCTAGAGAAGACATAATCATGAACAGAATGTTGGTAGAACTATAACATTAAAGATCAATCTGAAGCTGGGCTCGGTGGCTCAGCCTGTAATCCTGCGCCTTTGGGAGGCTGAGGTGAGTGGATTGCCTGAGCCCCCGGCTTCGAGACCCGCCTGGGCAGCGAGACCTCATCTCTACAATAAATCAAAAAATCAGCCGGGCGTGGTAGCGCATGCCTGTAATTCTGGCTACTTGGAAGGCTGAGGCGGAAGGATCGCCGGAGCCTAGCAGGTCGAGACTGCAGTGGCCGGGAGCGGCCACTGCACTCCAGTCTGGGCGACACAGTGAGACTCCAACTCAAAAAAAAAAAAAAAAAAAATCAATCTGGTGAGGGCTCAGATGGAAATGTGGAGCAGGTTATTAGAAACTAGAGGAAAGGCCGGGCACAGTGACTCAAACCTATCCCAGCACTTTGGAAGGCCAAGGTGAGAGGATTGCCTGAACCTACAGGTTCGAGAACAGCCCGGGCAACTTGGCGAGGCCTCATCTGGACAATAAATAAAAAAAATTAGCTGAGCATGGTAGTACATGCCTGTAGTTTCGGCTACTTGGAAGCCTGAAGTGGATTGCCTGAGCCCAGCAGGTTGATGCTGGGGTGGCCACGAGTATGCCACCGTACTCCAGCCTGGGCAAGGAGTGAGACTCCAACTCAAAAGAAAAAACTAGAGGAAAGGTGATCTTTTATAGAGTGGCAAATAACTTGACTGAATTGTGTTTGTGTTTTATGGATGACAGAACTTTCAAGTATAAAACTGGATATTAAGGTAGAGATGTCTAAACAAGTATTGAAGGTGTGGCTTGGGTCTTCCTTACTGCTTATGGTAAAATGCAGGAGATGAACTGAAAAGCAAAAAGGAACCAGAACTTGCAGATTTGAAAAATTCTAAACCTATCCATACTGCAAAAATTGATAAAGCCTATTTGGACGAGTCTGTGGGTATGGTTGAGCAACCAGTTGTTAAAGAGATCATAAGTATGACTGTTGATCTCATAACCATCTCAGCTGAAGCAAAGAGTAGAAAGGGGATTATACTGGCAAACACGCTGTCAGTTGGAACTAAAGGAGACGAGAAAGCCGGACAAAGTGAATGCAGGCCATTGGCCTCAGATTCTACGGGACTGGACCATATCGCTATTTGGCTGCAAATGTGCACTATTGTTTAAGCACAAGAAAGAATGACCCCACAGGCAATTTAGAGATCATCAGTGCTGCCACTCATACCACAGGCCCAAGGGGAAAGGGCTAGTTCCTCTTCAGTTTTAAAGGGTGAGGTCACCCTGCCAAGCCATAAGGATGGCAGGACATCAACCCAAAGCGGACTATTCCTGAGGCTTAAAATATAATGGAATTTGCCTTACTAGGTTTTGGGCTTGCTGGGGACTCAGTCTTTTGTTTTCTATTTCTCCCTTTCGGAACAGCAATGTCAATCCTATGCCTGTCCCACCATTGAGTTTTGGAAGCACATAACTTGTTTCATAGGTTCACAGCTGGAGAAGAATAAGAGTCATGCCCTGTCTCACCCATACCTGATTTGGGTAATATTTAGATGAGACATCGGACTTCAGAGTTAATGCTGGAATTAGTTAAAACTTTGAGACCATTAGTATGGAATAAATACATTTTGCATGTGATAAGGGCATGAATTGTGGTGGTGGGGGCAGGGACAGAATGCTGTAGAATGTGTTCACCCAAAATTTGTATGTTGAGATCCTAACCCCTAATGTGACTATATTTGAAGACAGAGTTTTTAGGAAGTGTTAAGTTTAAATTAAATAAGGTCATAAGTTAGCCCCCTAATTTGATAGACTTGGTGTCCTCATAAGAGGAAGAAGAGAGACCAGCGCTAGCTAACTCTCTGCTGTGTGGTGACACAGTGAAAAGAAAGCCATCTGCAAGCTAGAAGAGAGCCTTCATCAGAAACCAAACCCTGCTGAACCATAATCTCAGGCTTTTCAGCCTCTAGAAGTGTGAGAAATACATTTCTGTTGTTAAGTCACCCAGCCTATGGTATTTGTTATGGCAGCCTAAGCTAATACACTTTCTGTGCCTCAGTTTCCCCATCTATAAAACAGAGATAACCATGTCTAGCTCTTAGGATTGTGGTAATAACAAGTTAACACATGTAAAGTGTGGTGAATGTTATAAAGATGAAGACTGCTCAAGGGACTTGGGGGTCTGGCTTGCACAAAGGTGCCATTTGACCTTAGCTGGGTATTTTAAAAGTCTTGGCACCACACTCTTCTAGCTTAAGTTGCATTCTTGCTGAAGCTTAATTTCCCTGGGAAGGGTAGTAGTCACTTATTTCTCAAAGTGATGAAGAACAGAAGATAGCACAAAAGATCTTAGGTGTAGGTCCTGAAGAAATGAGGTGGAAAGCTCACAAGGAGTTGGGAGCAAAGGCTGAAGGCCCCGAGGCCTGTTTCTTCAAAGCTTGAAGTTGAGGAGAAAGCAGAGTTGAGTAAATTTGTGACAGGTAAGGACATTTAAAGGGAGATTGTTAAATTTGGACTTATCGAAAAATGTATTTAAAAAAAAATAGACTCCAAAACTTTCAGGACTGCATTTATTTGTCTCTAGAAGGTAACCCTGGGCCTTTTCACTTCTCATGTCTGTGGGAGTCTGAAACAGAGAAGAAAGTCCATTATAAATAGCTAAAGAATAAGAACAGACAGTTTATAAAACAAATACAACTAAAAGAAATATGCACAATTTTAATTTCATTACTAATCAAGATGTTTAAATTTAAAGATATTATTTTAATAGAGCTCATTGTTGGCGAGAATGTGCTGAAATTGGCACTCTTGCATAGTTGATGGTACTATAAATTGCCACTATGCATGAAGTCATAGAATGGCCTACCTGTGACTCAGGAGTCCTACTTCTGGGAATCTATCCTGTAAAAACAATACAAAATACAGACAGAGCTAAACACATCAAGTTATTTATCATGTTTATGAAGGAGAAAAAAAGCTAAAGTCCAACAATCAGAAAAATCAAAAACAGGACACACAATGTTATGTGCCCTAGGACAATTTCTTCTCTTAGTTGCATAGGGGGAAAATGGAAGAATTTTAGTATATTTGCATCAGTGGTTTTACCAGGAGAGAATACAGTTTTGTGTCCAATTTTTCAAAATCTCAACTTTGAAGAAAAAACAAACTCATGACTAACAAAATCATAGTCAAATCATAGTCAGGTGGTTTGGTTATTGGAACCCGTCAAGTATATCACAGTGAATGTTAAAACACTGCAAATGTTTTGATTTAGTTTTAAATTTTTATCTTCGTTCCAGTCTACTCTTATTTACATTTCAAGGTTAAGTTTTGTTAGAAAGTGTTTAAAACGGATTGAACATCATTACCGACATCCTAACCCCAACACTTCAGTGACTTGTTAGATACTAGGCAAGTTGCTTCTGTTCTTAAGTTTCCTCACATGTAAAATAGATATAACTTTGCAAATCACAGGGTGGTTATGAAAATTAAATAGGTTTTAATATGTATAAAGTGCCAGGAATAGTGTCTGGCACAAAAAAGCATGAGTAACTTTTTCTGATTTTGATGGAGTCTTTCCACTAAACATGTGAAAAAGCTTTCTCTTTTTTTTCTTTGGTTCAGGTCTTGCTTTAGCAGTCTTTTTTCAAAAAAAAATTTTTTTTTTTTTTTTTGAGTTGAAGTCTTACTCTGTCGCCCAGACTGGAGTGCAGTGGCCGCTCCCGGCCACCGCAACCTCGACCTGCTGAGCTCTGGCGATCCTTCCGCCTCAGCCTTCCGAGTAGCCAGAATTACAGGCATGCGCTACCACGCCCAGCTGATTTTTTGATTGTAGAGATGAGGTCTCACTGCCCAGGCGGGTCTCAAACCCACGGGCTCAGGCAATCCACTCACCTCAGCCTCCCAAAGGCGCAGGATTACAGGCTGAGCCACCGAGCCCGGCTAAAAAAAATTTTTTTTTAATGTCCAGGGTATTGTATACCTAAGAGCCAAATGTACGTATATTTACCTGAAGGGTTAAAGGATAATTGAATCCTTTCAGCCTACAGGTCTAGTGTATTTTAGATCTTTGTTTCTTTTTAAGAGTTAGCTGGAAAATTTCAGAACTGTAATAAGTATCAGAATTAAAAAACTTGCTAAAAAGTATATCAATATGCTCTTTAATGTCACAGTTGATATTAAAGACTGTTGGTCTCATCTAAGCCCCAAAATTTAAGGTCCAAGAAGAGGGTCAACTGAAGAACGAAAACCCGGTTTGCTGTTTACCTTCCTTAAGAAGGCAAGCACACTCCCTGCTGGCTGTGTAGCTGCATAAATCGACATATTATTCAATGTACTTTTCCACCACCACCCACCGAGCCAAGACTTGGTGGGGGAGATGCGGGTGGATAGAAGTCCTTGCTTACTCAACTTTAGGATTCAGTCCTCAGCCTTTTCATAATATGAAAGGCAAGCCTCACCTTTCTGGAGGTCAGAGAGCTACCAATATATATGTGCCATCACAGCACCAAAGTTTAGAAAAACACAAACTCCCCAAATTTGGGTAAAATCCCAAAGCAAAACGCAGTCACCGGAACAGCCTCTGTGTGAGCCCCAGTGCCCTTAGTTCAGGGCCGCAAAGCCAAGTGCCTCAACACATGAAACAGGCTAGTGGGTACAGTAAGGAGTGGGGACTCTGACAAACTAGGAAGCACCACCCCATCAAAAGGGACACAACTTCTTAAAACATTCTGCTGGCTAAACTTATCAGAATATGCCCCAGGCCACCAGGGACCCCTGAGGCAGATGAACGTGCTTTCCGAGCAAAAACCTAGACCCATCACTTACGGTGGTAGAATTTTCACTGTCACATAGAGCCACTACCTGGGGGAAATGTGAGATGAAAGAGAAGAACGAGGTTTCAGAGCTTTCCCAAGTTGCTAACGAATTCATCCCAACCACTCAGACCATCTCATTTCAGAGCTAAACATGCCATAGAAGAGATATCCCCCGTGACCACCACAACCTGGAGAGGGGGTGATGGGAATCTACCACCCACACAGGCTTCCCACTCTCAGAATCTCTTTCAAGGAACATTTCCACGACATAACAGCATTTAGAAGTGTATGTTGGCAGCATGCCCAGGCCCCCAGAACAGACACTTCCATGTGTCTTTTTCCAAAATCATCCACATGTCCCTCCTCCAAAGCCCCCCGGACCCTAGCATTCTTGACATCTCACTCCAAAATGGAGGGTGGTCTTTGTCTAGTAGACGTGGTCTCTACAGTATCACAGGCAACTCTGAACAAAATTCGGAACCATGCATGATGTGAAATGCCTGAGCCATAACTACAGGTGACAAGTTGAAGGAATATACAACGGCAGGATAGCAAACACACTGCCAACCAGCAAGACCCAACACCAGTATGGCAAAACCTACACCCTGAAGCTCCCACTTTAAACGAGCCTCTCCCTGGACCTTGAAATGAATCTGTATCCCTACCAAGACCAGATGCTGTGGCTTCATGTGGGCTCAGGACCCTCCCTGTCTGCACACACACTTGTCAATTCAGTCACCAAGTGAACCTGCTCTGGCCCCAGAAGCTAATCTCCATCCCTGTCATCAGCAGATTCTTATGTACTTCATTCGGGACTTTGCCTCCCAGGAATGTTGTTGATCTTGCACAGCCTGCTCTGACCCCATCTCCAAATCCCCAAAAATGCCCATCCCTGCTACCACCAGGATGCCACTCCCTCGTTCTCTCTGAGGGCAGGGAGAAGGGCGCCACTCCTGTAAGCTGAAGCTGGAGAGGACCCGCCTCCCAAATCTTCTGCACATGAGCATTTCAGTTCAATGAGCCACATCAGCTGTCACTAGGTCTCCAGGCAGGGACTCTGACCAAGATCCGGAAACCCTATGCAGTCAACCTCTCTGGAGAAGCTGGGATGAAACCTTAAGAGGGTCTTTTTGTTAAATAAAGGCCAGCCTGAGCATCACTTCCTTGGTCCCTCAATTGGGACCCATCCTAGCTCCTGAATGTAAGATGTAAGGTTTATATAAAGTTAATAAAAGCAATATTGATAGGTGCTCAACTCACACACAAATCAGGACCCCAGAGTTAAAACCATTAACAAGGAGAAAATCAGCCAGAAAGATGGCTGCACGATAGGCATTTCAAAGAGAAAACGAGTCCCTGTCCTCCTTCCCCTTCTTGAACGATTCAGTCCTCATGCCACTAGTCAGGTAACGGGTAGGTAGCAGGGAGACAAAGGCAAGTACCGGAGTCCAAGTAGGCTGAGATGGCATCTACATCTAGAGGCAGCCCAGCATAGATCAGAGGCAGAACAGATGAGAGGTGTGTTGACACAGAAGTGGCCCAGTCAAAAGTGGCAGAGCCCAATCTGGGTGAAAAGGACACCTCCGTGGAAGGGGTGGAGCCCTGGCATAGAGAGTCAGAGCCCACACTCGTTCAGGAGGGTGTCCACAGAAAGGGGCAGTCCAGCGTGGGGTGGAGAAGCATCCGTGTGTGCCGGTGACCCAAGTCGCTGAGCCACAGCTGGAGCGGGTGAAGAGGCATCCCCATGTGGGGTAGCCTCGTAGAATGTCAAAGCCAAGGAGGGGGCTCGTGTGGAGGAGTGGCCTGCCCTGAGTGTTACAGCCCACGGGGATGAAAACAACAGGCCATGAGGGATGGCAGCAGAGATGAGGGATGGCAGCAGAGATAGCGGATGAACTATGTTCAGGGAGTGTCTCAGGTAAATAGTAGTTTCCAGGGCTGGGGGTGGAAAAGTACAAGATGAGCTGGAATAGCTTCAGCCAGAGAGGAAGTGATCAGAGAACGAGGATGACATGTCAAATGGAAAGTTGCCAGCTTGAAGGGGATTTTACTGGCCACAATGAGGACAATTTGAGCAATGAAGTAATTAAATATGACATCATATATATATATATATACATCATATATATAATGATCCACTGAATTAAATAGAAAACCATGAACCCATACTAATATTTTAAAAAATTCAGGCCAGGCATGGTGGCTCACACCTGTAATATCAGCACTTTAGGAAGCCAAGGCAGGAGGATTGCTTGAGACCAAGAGTTTGAGACCAGCCTGGGCAACATAGCAAGATCCCATCTCCACAACAACAAGAAAATTAGTCAGGCATGGTGGCGTGCACCTGTAGTCCCAACCCCTTGGGAAAATGAAGCAGGAGGATTGCTTGAGCCCAGGAGCTGGAGGCTCAATGAGCTAAGATCATACCACTGCATTCCAGAATGGGCAACAGAGAATCTGTCTCAAAAAAAAAATTTTTTCTAAATTATTTAAGTGAAAAGTTAAACTGTGGTACATTCATACCATGGACTACTACTCAGCAATAAAAAAGAGGAACCAGCCATGAATACAACTTGGGTCATCTCTATGACATTGTGCTGAGGGGAAAAAAGACCATCTCTAAAGGAACAATGTATGAACCCATTGTTATAGCATTTTCAAGATAAATTATAGAGATGGAAAGCAGATTAGTGGTGTCCAGGGGCTAAGGAGAGTGGACAGGTTGGGGCAGAAGGTGGGTGTGGCCATAAAAGGGCACTATAAGAAATAATAATTTGAATATCAAAGGATGAGAAATCCTTGGCAAAATTTGTGAAATCCTAGAATGCATCTGCAAAAATGGCTCTCTTTACAATCAGACCTCCAAAGCAACACTTGATAGAAGTGACATACACTGTCTATAAAAATCTCGGATGCCAGACTTCAAACTCTACTATAAAGCTACAATAATCAAAACAGTCTGGTACTGGTACCAGAACAGGGATATAGACCAATGGACCAGAATAGAGATTTCGGAAGCAAAACATCAGTTCTTCAACCAATCCATCTTCGACAAAGGCTCCACCAACAACCAATGAGGAGAGGAGAACCTATTCAGTAAATGGTGCTGGGAAAACTGGATGATTACATGTAGAAGACTGAAACAAGATCCCTACCTATCACCACACAAAAATCAACTCTAAATGGATCAAAGACCTAAATGTAAAACCGCAAACTATAAGAATCCTAAAAGAAAAGGTAGGAAACACCCTTACAGAAATTGGAACAGGCAATCAAGTCCCGATCAACTCTCCAAAAGCAAATACCATAAAAGATAAGATAGACAAGTAGGACCTCATCAAACTGAAAAGCTTTTGCAAAGAAAAGAAACCATCAAGAGAGTAGGGAGACAGATCACAGAATGGGAAAAAAATATTTGCCAACTGTATATCTGACAAAGGCCTAATATCTGGGATCTACAAGAAACTCAAAAAGGCTGAAAGGAACAAAACAAACAAGACTATTTAAAAAATGGGCAAAAGATAGGAATAGACACTCTCAGAAGACATATGAGCAGCCAACAGATACATGAAAAAATGCTCAGTCTCACTAATCATCAAAGAAATGCAAATTAAAACCACACTGAGATACCACTTAACTCCGCTCAGAATGGTCATCATCAATTACTCAAAAAACAACAGATGTGGAGTGTCTTGTTCCCCTTTTTTCAGGAAAATTCTAGTCAGTTCTTTTTTTTTTTTTTTTTAAACTAGGGAATGTTAGTTCCCTACTTTAAATTGATCAATCATCCTTGGAAAACAAAGACCTTCAATACGTTCTTGCTACTGGTGTTGCCAAGCACAGGTCTGCTCTGCAGTGCAGAAGCTCCTATCTCAGCCCAGACCCAACAGGACAGGCAGGTACGGTCACCATGAAAATGACAGGATGATACTCACCTAACAAGGATCAATGAGGATTAAACGCAAGTCAGATCCCCACCGAGCATTTGTGGAATCATTACCCCTATTAACTTAGTCAGGTTGGAGACCCAGCTCAGGTCATTTCTTCAATCTTTTTTGTTGTTGTTGTTGTCATTGTTCTCAGCCATTCTGTCAGCTCACATAGTAGCAATAGGAATTCTGTCTTCTAAGGGCTGACTGGCATGGAAAAGTTTATATCTCAAGCAATCAGAATATGAAAACCTAGACTGAGTATTGCACAAATGGAATCCTCAGGAAACAGTAATCAGGTCAGAAATGGGATCCACGGCTTGCCAGTCCCCTAACCAGCCAGCAGGAAGCCTGTAGGATTTCACATCAGAGCACAGCAGCAGTGAGAGCCAAGTGAGAAAACCCAGAACACTTGATACAAACAGAGTTGGGATGCCTCTGGCTTATTGTTCACCAATCAATATCCATCACTCACAGTAAGTCCAGTAAATTTGACGATATCTGTCCAAGTGAACATGGACATGCCAGGTACTGTGCTAGATGCTTTACTGTCAGGACATCATTCAAACTTACAGTTGTCTTATATACAAGGTAGGTACAATTATCACACCCATTCTACAGATGGGGAAACTGAGGATTAGAGGCAGTCAGTAGCTCACACAAAGTCACATAGCTAACAAGTGGCAAAACCAGGGTTTGAACCTCAGCTGTCTGTCTCCAGAGCCTACACTCCACTGCTATTCCAAACGGCCTCCCAGCACCACAAACTTGCTCAAGACATTATGCCTGGTCCAGATTCCTACATGCCTTTCTTATTTTAACATCAGTTGTGTGACAAGGTGGGATTGAGTAAGGGGCCTCGTTTGTCTATCACTGATCTACAGCAAGAGAATAAAAATCCACCTTCCATCTCTTTAGTTTGGCAAAGTAATAAGAGATACAATGATCAACTCCTTTGTTATTACTTTTAAAATGCTGCCTTACATATGAATAGACATTTTTCAAAAGAAGACATACAAGCAGCCAACAGACACATGAAAAAAAAGCTCAGCCTCACTAATCATCAGAGAAAGGCAAATCAAAACTGCAGTGAGATACCACCTAACTCCAATCAGGATGGCCATCAATAATAAATAAAAAAACAACAGATGCTGGCATGAGTGTAGAGAAAAGGGAATGCTTCTACTCTGTTGGTGGGAATGCAGGCTAGTTCAACCTCTATAGAAAGCAATGTGGTGATTCCTAAAAGAACTAAAAATTAGGCAATCCCTTCAGGCCCCCTGCCACTATGGGAGCTTTTCTGTCCTCTCAATAAATCCTACTTTCTCACTTAAAAAAAAAAAAAAGAACTAAAAATTGACCTCCATACTATCCAGCAACCCCTCTCCTGGGAATATACCCTGAGGAACATAAATCATTCTACTAAAAAGACCCTTGCACACACAATAGCAAAAACATGGAACCAGTCCTGCTGCCCATCGAAAGTGGACTGGATAAAGAAAATGTGATACATATAATGATGGAGTATTATACAGCCATAAAGAAGAACAAAATCATGAAGTTTGCAGCAATCAGGTTCACGTTGAAGACCATCACATTTAGTGATCACAGAAACAAAACAAATAATTGAATACCACATGTTCTCATCCAAACTTCACCTGCATGTAGCCTACATGTATAGTTAATCCTCATTTGTATCCCACATCTGTATAATAAAATTAAAAAAAATTTTAATGTTGCCTTACAATCAGGCTTTACATTTTAAAAAGTATCACCATGCATCTTTATGTAATAAGCAAGCTACTCACTTCCTTTTCTGGAGACCTGAGACCCGAAAACCTCCTGATGTGTTATAGTGTCATTTTAAAAATAAGCTTAGGTCTGCACTGGGCGGTTCTGGAGAAGTTTCCCCTCCCTAGGAGCTGCTTGCCAGTTAATTTAGGAACAAAAGAATCTTCCGAACTAGCAAGCCCCACCCCACCTCTTCAAGTGCTTTCACAAAAATTATCTTGTTTTAATCATGTTTTAGCATGGAAAATGACACACCTAAAAGTATCCATTTTGAGTTTTGTTTTTTTTTTTTTAATATCTATATGGCTATTTAAGAAGGAATACTTTCCCAGACTCCTGGTCGAGGCACTTACTCCAGTCGTAGATGTGGAGTGCATGCTGCGACACGCGTAGGCTGGCTCACCACTGCCACCATCTGCCCAAGGCCCTTCCACTTCTTTCTTCAAGCTGGCGGCACAGCTGGTATGTTGGGCGATGTTTCTCGATAGCTTCGCGGCCAAGGATACATGTGGCTCGGAAGTATTGCTGCTGTAATTCTGCTCATCTGAATTTTGTTTCTAGAAACCGTATTTAGTTGTCAAATGTTATGAGAGTAAGACTTTGAAATACAGTGATTTAAATCTTCAAAGCGTTAAACGATGAGGTTTCATTTATGCGATAAGGGTAATGCTTAAGAGAAAAATATTGCCCGGTGGCTCTATTTGTTCATAACCTTAAAAATGCCGTGCAATGGGCAATTGTGATAAAATACAGATCCTGTATTTTAGAATGAATGCAGCACAGAGCAAAGCACTTCTGTTACACAATTAACATGCAAGGAAAAACCAAGGTAGCCACCTGCATATGTTCAAACACTATGACCATGCCACCACCCAACCATCCAATCTGGCCGATAGGACCATCCATTCCTGCCACTGCAGAACATATCTTCCTAGAACCACTTGAACAAGATGAGTGGAGAAGGAAAAAAAAATTCAAAGTGCTATTACACAATTGGCTATTTCCGTCTGAAGTTTCTAGAATAATTCTCTTCTTTCTATCATATTTCCTTATATTCTGCTCCTAAATACAATCACGTTGCTACTTAGGAAAGACCTTCGCTTTATCTAACAGCTTTTCTTCCTTCGGTTCTTTTGGTCCTTCTATCTCTTCTCAGATTTCCGGGTTGAATGGACTTGAAAAGTTTGCCACTTTCCTCTGCTTGGACTCCAGCTATTCACCAATAATGCACCCTCAACCTCCTGGGTGTCGACTTCCAGCCTGCTCCTCCTCCACCTCTCAAATGCTGGACCTGGTTGCTTTCTCCCATCCTGGCCTTCCTTGGCCTCTCTGTGGCTTCTCATACTTCCACCTTTGGTTTCCCAAGATTCCCTCCTAGTCAACTTTGTGACCCCATCTTGTTTCTCCACCTTCTTGCCACATTTTCTCTCTAATGACTCCTCCTTCCTCTGGCCAATGGTGCTGCTTAGGCCTCTTTTCTAAGGCTCTTTTTTCATATTTCATCTCCCCTGATGACTGATTTTCAGGCTTTCCATGTTTGCCTCTCCATGGAACAAGTCCATAAAACCAGGTCACACTTCTCACTGCCTCAGGGACACTCTGAGTCATCCCACCCTAATAATGGCGGTGACATTATGATACACCATCTCACAGAATGATCCCCGGACCCCCATGAGATGGGTATCACTAGACCACTGCTGCAGGTGGCCCCGGGGAAGGCCTTTCCCAAGGAAGGCCCCTTAGGGAAATATACACTCCTTCCTCCCTGTGTCCTCTCTGATATACATTCTGCTGAAGGAAAATCACCACCACAAAGTTGGAGTCCTCCTTTTAAGTCCTGCTGTCAAGATCCCATCAAAGATTCAGCAGTTAGAGGCCGGGTATGGTGGCTCATGCCTGTAATCCCAGCACTTTGGAAGGCTGAGGCAGGAGGATTGCTTGGGCCCAGTAGTTCCAGATCAGCCCGAGCAACACAGCAAGACCTCATCTGAACAACAACAACAAAAAACATCATCTAGGCATGGTGGCACGTGCCTATAGTCTCAACTCCTTGGGAGGCTGAGGCAGAAGGAATACGTGAGCCCAAAAGTTTGAGGCTGCAGTGAGCCTTGATCATGCCACTGCACTCCAACCTGAGTGACAGAGTGAAATTCCAACTCAAAAAAAAAAGATTCAGCAGTTAAGAGTTAGATACCCTGGACAGTAACAGGAGAGAAGAATACAGATGGTCAGGAATTCAATTCCAGTGCTCACCTGGGTTCAAATCCCAGTCCTGACATTTCTTAGGTGTGTGGCCTTTACCTGTGTTATGGCTTCCTCCTCTGTAAAGTGGGGGTCATAAATAGATCAGAGGAGTATTATGAACCTTCACTGGAAAGTATATCTACACTTCTTGGCCCAGCATCTGGCATATGGAAAGGATTAAATAAATGGTGGTGATCACTAATCTAATTCTTAAACTTTTACCTTCGAGTCTTTGGCTCCTTCCAAAACATCACTGAGAACTTGTATGTATTCAGTTGCGCCTTTAAGAATATCAACTTTGCTAGGCTTCCTGCTTTGGGGGAGAAATGGCACAAGTGCCTTCAGTTTGGCAAAACCCCGGTTGAGATTTTTTATCTAGAAAACAAAAAAGCACAGTGACACACAGAGGAGCCCATTTGTAAAGACATCCCCCCAAGCCACAGAAGAGGGTTGTGAGGGCTTGTTTCCACAGCCCTCTTGTCCGGGTGATAAATCTAAACAGGCGCACGCCCCAAAGAGTCATTGCTCCGCCGGCAGAGCAGTTTATGGCAAGGGAAGAGGGAAGGGCATAACTGGGCACTGTGAGTGGGCAGACTAGAAGGTGTGTCTGTTCACCCTGACCTCCCTCCTCTTCTTCCTCTCCCTCCTCCTCCTTTGAGAGCATACCGCTGCATTATAGCACAGAGGCAGTTGAGAGTAGTGGCTAAAATCTGAGTCAACTACACCTGGATTTAAAACCCAGGTCCACCAGTTACAAGAGTGTGTGGGATACTTCATATCTCTAAGCCTCAGTTGTTCATCTGCAAAGTGGAAAGTACCTCTCTTTAGTTTTTTAGGGTGTGACTAGGTGACATGATGTACACATAAAACACCTCTCCCAAACCTGGCCCACAGCATTGCCAATAGTGAATAAAACATGCAAACACTTGTTTACTTAAGCACTGCACCACCAACTCTTCAATCTCTTTCCCCCCAGCTAATGAAATAGGGTCAAGTGTGAGAGTCCAGAGAGTTGGTGAGGTTTTAAAGGCCCCTCATTTAATTTTTCTCTTTACCCCAGAGTCTAATCCCCTGGCTCTGAAGGCCTCTAACTCTGATAATCATCTGCCTGGAAGATACGGGCCCTGGGAGAACTGGCTCCCACCATACCATAAAACCAACACACTCATATTGAGAGGCTCTCTCACCCTAGAGCAAAGTAGACAGAAAACTAGCCAATTCATAGGAGATTACAATGGCCAGTGCATGAAGAGATTTGACTTTAATAATCAAAGAACTACAAACTAAAACAGAAACGAGACGCCATTTTTCATGCACCCAGCTGGTAACATTTTTGTTTTATCATACCCAGCATCGGGGATAGTATGAAAAAGAAAACAGTCCTATGCCCTGTAAAAGGAATAAATATTAGTAACCCTTTCTAGATAGCAGTTGATAACTTCTATTAAAAGTTGTGAAACTGTATACACCCCATGTGCCAATCATTCTTCTTCCAGCATTTTATTCTAAGGCAATCATCAGAATACAAATGGATTTACGAATCAGTAAAAAGCTCAATAAGCTGGGGTCCATTTATAGAACAGACGATTAAGTTAAAAACTGTTATTTGAAGAGTACTTAATATGAGGAAAGGCTTTTGCTAAGAAGTGAAAAATTACAAAAATCTGTACTGATGACAGTTGTGTATGTATACAAAATATATGTACATATATTTTTGTAAAACATGTATACATGCAACTGGAAAAAACTGGGAGGACATACTCAAAAATATTTACAGTAGTTATATCCATGTTATGAGTGTCTCCTCTTCCTCTTCGGTCATTTCTATATTTTCTAAGTGTATTAATTTTATTATAAGGCTGGGTCCAGTAGCTCATGCCTATAATCCCAGCACTTTGGGAGGCCGAGGCAAGAGGATTGCTTGAGGCCAGGAATTTGAGACTAGCCTGGGCAACATAGCGAGACTTTGTCTCTACAAAAAAAATACAAAAATTAGCTGGGTGTGGTGACACACACCTATAACCTCAACTACTTGGGAGGATCACTAGAGCCCAGGAGTTCAAGGCTGCAATGAGCTATGATGGTGCCACCGCACTCCTGCCTGGACAACAGAGTAAGACACTGTCTCTAAAAAAACAAGCAAACCTAGAAACAACAAATTATTATAAAGAATAAAGGTCATTAGTTTTTGTGTGTGGATAAAGCCAGTATCAATTATCTGCAGAAGACAATTCCTTCCCGGGGGGGAAGGAGCACTTAAAATATTGGCTCATAATCTCGTTTTAAGGCCACCAAATCAGATCACAGGATAAAGTTTCTAGTGGCTGGGAAAAACAAAATTCACTTTTGCTCTGCCTTTGTCCTTTCTCCTCACACTCTTTCCCAAACAAAGCTCCTACTTGATTCACTGAGACTTCCTGAGGTATTTAGAAACAGCCTCCAAGAGAACTGGATTTAAAAAAAAAAAATGTGGTACATATACACGATGCAATATTACACAGCCATAAAGGACAAAATTACGAACCTCACAGCAACTCGGATGGACTTAGTCTATAATACTGAGTGATCGATCACAGAAACAAAGAATTGAGTACCACATGTTCTCACTCATAAGTGGACCTTGAACAATTATCATAATACTGTAAGACAGGAATTGGCGGTAATTGAAAACTGCTGGGGGGAGGGGAGAGTCAGGGGGAGTCAGGGTCGGGAATGGCAGTAGTGGTAAACTGCGGGGGGTGGGGTGGGAAGGGGCCACACCTCAACAACGAGGGGACCTGCATGGTACCCCAACCCTGAATTGTGCCCCACATCTTCAAAATAAACTAAAATAAAAAAGAAACCGCCTCCAGAGGATTTAATTCCCAAGTACTCGGCCTAAGCGGGTGGCTTCCTCCCGACGATCCGCCTCAGCGGCAAGCCAACCCAAAGATCGCCAAGGGCCGGAGGGAGACCCCATCTGACACACTTGGGACCGAGTTTCCCTGGAGGTCCTAAAAGCTACCAGCAGATGCCGCTCCAAGCACGGCCCCAGGGACCAGTCCCGTTCGCCAGTTACTGCGCCCCCCGCCCGCCTGGGAAAGGCGCTCTCTCCGGACTGTAGTTGAAATGGCGTTTGGGCGCACCTGGGGCATTGTTGTTTGGTTACTCGAGTAACCTCCCTTTCTCTCCTCGCCCCGTGTCTGCTTCGAAGGCGAGGTGCAGGAGGCAAGGAACAGGAATGGGGGACGCTTTGCGCCCCGGATGCCCAAACAGCGCCCGCGGCTGTGAGATTTGAGCACAAGCCCCGTGCACTAAGCTTTTGAGAGTACCTGCCAAGGGAGACATTTTGGAAGTTGTCAGGGCGCTCCTGTCCCCTCCCGGACCCGGTTCCCCCCAAGTCCGGGAGGGTCAGAAGGCGAGGCGGCCACCGCAGCGGCCGCGATGAGCCGCTGCGCGCAGGTGGAGGGTGGCGTGGCCGCTGTCACGCTGCAGACACGCCGGGGACGCGAGCCGGGCCCCGGAGAGCGAAGCACCTCGGGGCCCGCGGACGGGTGCTGAGTGGCGGG